AAGGTAGGAAATAGAAAGCATAAAGTTAAATTAATATGAAGAAAGACTAACTTCCTAATTTTTTAGTATTTTAACTTATATTTAAATTCAGATTGACAGAGAAGGAGAATACTTTTTATAATTTAATTATTTGAATGTATAATTCCTTAATCAAAAGCATTTGAGAATAAAAAATATTTTGAAAGTTATTTATTAAAAACTTTTATTATTCAAAAAAAACTTTCTGCCATTCTTTTCACCAGGGACTGTACTACCTTACTTAGTAGTAGCTTAACTGTAGTCTAATAAGTATTATGCAGTTATTGCATAGTAAAAAAACAAAGTTTCTATAAAGTATTTGTTGATTTAATTAAAAAAAAGAAATTTCAAAAATAAATTAAACTAGCAATTGAATTAGTATTTAAAATATTAAAATTTACTTTAAATTTTTTCAATCTAAATTAACAAAAAAAACAATAGAATTAGACTTTCTTAATAGATACAGATAAAAAGAAAATGCTGAAAAAATTTTCAGTATTACAATTTGTATTAGGCAATTAATAGAAAAAATATAGAAAAATTATAATGAAAATTTTATCATTTGTATTTAATTTTATATAAAGAAAATTTTACAAATTAAGAAATTAACCAATTTGAGATTGATGTTCAAAATTAGATCTGTTATGTTTTGTTGTCTAATTCAAAGTCATATAAATAGTATTATACAAATTTCTAGCTTATCAAAAAGAAAATGTCACACCTTACATACATATTTTTGCAAAATATATATCTCAATTTTTACGACAATTAAAAGAAAAGGATCTTTCTTTACAAATATTTTCTATTTTAAGTGTAGAAAAAAATCACAAACAGATACTCAAAAATAATTGTATTTTTCTTTTATTTAATCTACATCTTTATTTCTAATTTATTTTAACTTTAAATTCGTCTATTCTTTAGAGGTATAATTATAGGTGAAAGAACTGATGAAAATCAGTAATATATAATATAATGTTTTTTAAAAATCACTAATTATTCTACTTAATTAACAATATTTCTAAAAAAATTGTTTTTAGAAATATTGATATTAGTAAAAAAAATTAAATGTAAAAAAAAATCTAAAATTTTTTTGACATATAATTAATACATAATTGTTGAAGTAGTATGTAAAGTAATATAAATCTATATTTTAATAATTGATTTATATTTAAGCATTTATTTGTCTCATGTTTATTTCTAAAAATTAATAAAATTAATAAATATATAAATATAATAATACAAACATTATATCATAATATCATAAAATATTAAATTAATACATATTTATTAACAAATTCTTTAAAATCAGTTACAAAAGTACAAGTTACGATACTATACTAAAAAAATCGATAATTTTCATTAAGTTTTAATAATGTTCTAGAAAATTAAGCTATATGTCAGTTTTTTCAATTATTATTATATATAGATACTGTAAATAGAATGTTTAATACCAATTAAATTTAACTTTATATGCTCTTTCATAATTAGCAAATAAAATATATTCCATGATTTTTGTTTTAGAATCCTGCTTAAAACTCTAATTTTTATAACTAAGTATTTATTTAAATCTTTCTTTCCTAGATTTTCCATAAAATTGACAAAAATATTTTCATTTTGTTAGACTATATTGAAAAGTAGGCTCATTTTCAAATAAATAAACAAAAATAGTTTCTGAAAAAGCATTTATTGAAAGTCATTTTGAACTAATAAAGTATCTATTAAAGCTAAGCTGTTTTTTAATAAGAACTATAAAATCATCTTGATAATAAATAATATATTCAAAAGAAAGCAAAATAAGAGAAGTATGATAGGGTATAATTTTATTGTTTCAGTGTTTACTTCTTTCATATATCAATAGTTTATTTTTAAAGGAAAATTTTTTTGGTAAAGTGAACAAGTGTAAGAAAAAAATGCATTCATTATTAGTTATCATATATTAGTGTTTTACAAAATCAGATCAGATCAGATTTTATCTAAATCTGATCTGATCTGATTTTCATTTTTTAGAATCTGAATCTGATCTGAATTTGACAAATCTGTTGAAATCCAGATCTGATCTAAATCTGAAAGTTTTATTGAAAAAATGAATTTTCAATTCTAAAAGATATCTGAAAATGTTTTTTTTTAATAAAAGAAACCTTTTCAACTTTAAAAGGTTCTGAAAAGTCATTTTTTTTCAATAAAAAAAATCTTTTCAGCTCTAAAAAAGTTCTGAAAAATCATTCCTTTTTATTGAAAGGAACTTTTTAGCTCTAAAGAGTTTTAAAAAATCGTTCTTTTTTATTAAAAGGAACTTTTTCAGCTCTAAAAGAGTTTTGAAAAGTCATTTCTTTACATTAAAAGGAACCTTTTCAGCTCTAAAAGAGTTCTAAAAATTTGTTTCTTTTCAATGAAAAGAACCTTTTTGACTTTAAAAAAGTTCTGAAAAGTTATTTCTTTTTAATAAAAGAAGTTTTTTAACTCTAAAAAAGATCTGAAAATTCATTTTTTTCAATGAAAAGAATCAAATTTTTAGCTCTAAAAAAAGTCTGAAAATTTGTTTTTTTTTTCAATAAAAGAAACTTTTCAGTTTAAAAGAAATCCAAAAATTCATTCTTTTTCAATGAAAGGAACAAAATTTTTAAATCTAAAAGTATCAGAAAATTTATTTCCTTTCAATGAAAGAAACTTTTAAACTCTAAAAAAGATCTGAAAATTCGTTTCTTTTTAATGAAAGGAACTTTTTAGTTCTAAAAGAGATCTGAAAATTTATTTCTTTTCATTAAAAAGAAACTTTTCAGTTTTAAAAAAGTTGAATTCAGATCTAATAAATTAGATCTGAATCTAATCTGAATTTAACAGATTAGATCTGAATCTGAATCTGAATCTGACAGATCAGATCTAAATCTGATCTATCAGATTCAGATTGGATTCAAATCAATCTGAATTTATACAGAATACTACTGTATATTATTTTAATTAGATCTTTTTAATCAACTAATTTACAATCAAAATCATATTCATATTTTATTGTATAATTGATATAAATGAGTCATGTGAAATCAAATCTGCCTATATGAGAATGTTGTAATTCTTTTGTAAAATTTTTAAAGTAATTCTTTGAAGTAGTTAACTTTTCTACTAAAACTATTATTAATCTATAGAAGGTTTAAAGTTTGAGTATTTAATTTATTTTAGAAGTTAGAAAAACTAAGAATATATTTTTTAAATCTAAAATATGTCTTCTTAGAATTACTTCTTAGCCTGTTTTTGAGTCAGTAATAGATTTATAAATAGATAAAACTAATTAAGATAATAGTAATTGATTTGATTAAAGTTTGATTATTAGTATTTTTTTTATTTGTAAAATAGGTGTTATTAGAATTATGTTAAACTTTTAACCAAAAATATTTAGATTTTTTATTTCTAAAATATTTTTCAATATAAAAATCAAGAATTGATTTTCTGTTAGAATTTTAAATAGTTTAGTAATAAATTCTAAAGTAATCATATTTAAGCCTATAATAGGTATAATATCATACTCTAAATTTGTAGATTTAATAGTAGAAAATAAGTAAGTTAAATCTTATTATATTGAATTTTTTTTTATTTGAAGGTTTATTAAGTTAAAACTTATTATATAATAATTAGAATAAGCAATAAATTTTTCTTTAAATAAATAAAATTTCCTATTTTAAAGGGATTAATATAATATTTAATAGTTGGATTTAATGGTATAAATATTTTTATGAAAAGGAGGTTTTTTTATTTATTTATTTTTTTAATAAAGTGATGAAATTTTTAATCAAAAAATAAATTTTCATAATAAGAAAAATCAGAAAAATTTGATCTATAAGAAATTATTTTAGTAAACTTTATAGGTAACATTAGTCAAAATAGAACAATTCAGCTGAAATTTGACTAAGTTGAATATATGTCGAATGATGATCTAACCTGCATTATATTTAGGCTGAATTCTTTGATACATTTAGGATACCAATCAGCTCATATTCAGAAAGAAAATTCAACCATTATTTTACATAAATTAGGATATTATTACATACTTATATGACTTTTAAAAGTAGCAAATTCGACTTTAAAAGAACATATATTCAACCTATTTATCAACAACATTCAGTTTATAAATTAAAGTATCACTTTGGTATATATATAATATATTATTATAATGTCAATATAAAATAACAAAAAAAAAAATATTTAATACCCTATATAATAATAATATAAAATTTAAAAAACACTCATTAAACAATATAAAACTAACTAACTTAAAAAAATGTAAACCAAATATAAAATTAAAAATAAATATATAAGAAAATAATATATGTGATTGGTATGATATTTGACTTGAAATTTGCGATAGTGTAATAATTGGAATGTGAATTGAAGAGTGGAAGTTTGTTATAGGAGTTCTACTCATGATATTTCTCATCTTTTTTTTTGCCTTTTTGACTCTTTTTCTTTTCAGTTTTTTGTTGCTAATATAATATAAATATTTTAGTTTGTGATAAAAATAACAAAAACTAATTCAATTTATTGATTACAAGCATTTGCTGATTTTGTCTAAATCTTCAAGTCAAATCAAATTTATCTCTGACAAATTTAGTATGAAATCTAAATTTAGATCTGTTAAATTTGTATCATTATATTGAATTTCTCTATCATAATCATCGTCAACTTCGTATTCTAACATTTCTTCATATTCAGGCATTTTAGCATCCATTTCTTTGTATTTAATTTTTTTCATGTCATATGCCCATTTAAGTGTGTTTTTTGGAGGATTACTATATATAAAATAAATATTATCATCATAAATTTATTCTTGTTGCTTCTTTACATGTTAAATTTACTTTGCAGCAGGATCTAATACATCACGTAATAGGTATTTTAGCTATTAAAAATAAAGATAAAAGATGATTGAGAAATTGTTTATTGCCTGGTAATTTTTAACGTGATTCATCATCTAAATCAGATTACTCAATAGAATGATATCCGTTCTGAGCTAGAAGAGGTAAAAGTTCATCTTTATCAAATTCTTATATATCATTGTCATTTTGTTTATATAGTTTTATGGTCGCCTTAATTCTTCTATTTCTTTTTTGTCAATCATATAAAGATTAGTTATTAAAACATTCAAAATAAAAAAAATATATTAAATAAAATGATACTTGCTTCAGATAAATAGGTATTTATATATATATATTGGTCATCTCTGTCTAATTAAACCAATTGTCACTTTCGATTTCTGTTTCTTTTATGCTTATGTATTGATCGTAACCAACTAACCAATTGAGTGACTGACAGATTAAAATGCTTACTCATCAACTTCTTTAATTCAGGAATCAACTTCTTGTAGATTTTCTCTGACTGCTCAGAAAAAGTCTTATCATAATCTATCATGTATTCGTCAAGAATTTGGCCTTTCATGAGATTTTTCATTTTAGTCTATATAACAAAAATAAATATAAAAAGGTTCTATTAATGTAAATTCAATAAATTAATAATTATTACCCTCGCAGCTACTTTGTTATCTTTGTCAAGAGATTTTCTTTTGATTTTAGTCTTTTATTATGTCATTCAATCGTAGTATTAGTAAGACTTTGAGGTATGCAAATTTGTCAATATTGTTTGAGTTCTGCTTATAGGGCTTTATTTTCTTTGTGTAATTTTTCTGACTCAATCCCAAAAATTCTATTGAATTTACTCAACAAAGTATTTTCCTCTTCAACTTTTCGAATATGATCTTCTAAATTGCTAATTTTTCATTTCATATCTGCTACTTTGATCTGTTCTTGACGTAATTCATTCTGAAGCTGATTTTTTTCCTTTTTAAAATTCTCAAGCACTAAATTATTTATTTAAATTATATAAATATGTATTGAATCATGTTGAAGCATATTTATATATATATATATAATAATTGTTATAATATAACAAATTTGATTTATCCGCTTCTTTTTCATAACTTTCATAACTTAGTTAGTGATTTGTTACTTCTTCGTGACTTGATTAGTAACTCTTTGGTATATTGATATTAGGATATTTTATAATAATATTCGATTTCATCATAGTTTGTTAAAATAGAGTTTAGCTGGATGATTGTGAAGGAGTTCGACTGGAAGATTGAGAAGATGTTTCACTAAAAATTTGAGAGGAAGTTTGATTAGAAGTTTGAGAAGATACTGTAGGTGTATTATTTCGTATGATGAGACGAAAGGTGTTGATAAAGTTATTGCAATCTGTGATACAGTTAGCTGAAATCGTGGTTGAGTTGTTGATGAAGTTGTGGATTTTTTTGATGTATTAGGTTGAAGAGTTGTTGACGAAGTTGTGGATTTTTTTGATATATTAGGTTAAAAAGTTGTTAATGAAGTTAGTGCTTTAAATCAAGGAGATATTGAAAGTGTTTAGCCTATTGAAACTAAAACATCTGCCATTATAATGAGTTTAAATAATGTTGAAGGTCATAGTTTATCTGTTGAAGTTTGTAGTCTATTAGGTTGAGAAGATATTAATGAACTTGTATTATATCATGATCTATTAAGTTAAGAAGGGGTTGACGAAGGTGGATTATTTTGTAAAGTATTGGGTTGAGAATATTTTGATGAAGGTTTCCTGTGAGGCATTTATATTTTTTAAAAAGAAAGAGAATATTTCTTTGTATAAGATGAGAAAATTCATCTATCTTTTATATCTATTTTTATACTATTTTTAAACTTTATATCAATTGAATTTAATTATTAACAATCAAATCAAATCAAAATAATATTTCTTTTAAAATCAAACAATATGATATATATCAAATCAATATAAATGTATTAATATCAATTAAATAAATCAAAGTTGAATATCAGTAAATCAACAAAGTTAAATATCATTAAATGCATTCACCTTCATATATAACTTTATTAGTAAAATTAAACTCGTATAAATCAGTAAAACAATGTTATTGATATTATATTATTAATTTAAAATATAAAAAAATACATAAAAGTCAATGTAACTTTGTTTATCATAAAAACAAGACAAACTATAACTTTATCCAATTTAATTGATTTAACAATTTTTATCAAAAAAAAATGCGAAAAAAGGGAAGAAAATGCACTGCTAATTATATATTAGACAAATATAACAATCTGAGTTCTAATCAAATTCTAACTAAAAATGACAAATTTACAACCAGAAAACTAAAAGCAAAGATTCAGTAGTTTTTGTAGCAAATGTAAAGGAAAATTAGTCAATCTGCACACAAAAGAAGCACATGAAGAGTAATCAATATCTTTATGATTTTTACCTGTTAATAAGACTCCAATATCACAAGTATTAGTAAAAATGCTTGATTTGACAATGTCGTTAGTAGAATCACAAGATACAACAATATTATCAGTAGAATCGCAAGATATGATAATGTCGAGTAATATAAATTTATCACATATATCTAATAATAATATATACGAAGAATAAAATTTAATATTTCTTTCACATAAAAGAAGAACAAAATAAATACATTTCATCCTATTACTGAAGTTAAGTAAGTAGAGATAGATTATGAAGATTCTGATAACATTATGTCAACTGAATATGACACAGACAATAACAATACCAGCAAATATTCAGTACAAGAAGATCCATCTAATGATAACAATGATTTTTTAAATATATTTGAGAATTATTCACATCCTATTTTCAATTTTGATACATCTAGTACTTCAGAATTACCAAAAGATGAACTAATTAAGGGGATTTTGATATGGATTATGAAGTTCAGGTTGAGTTATAATTTATCTAATACTGCAATTGATGACTTAATTAAATATATTAAAATAGTTTTGAAAGATTGTAAAAGTATCAATCACAAATCATTTTCAAATTCATTATATATATTAAGAAAATCATTAGGCCTTATCGATCAATTTACGCAATTTGCAGCTTATCAAAAATATCACAAATTATATAAAAAATATAAGGTAATATCAGAGGATAATAATACTATTAGAAAGTGCAGCCATGTCAAATTTCCAAATTCAACTACAAAGGAATCAAAGCAATGTCAAATTCCTTTAGGGAAGAAGATTCTTTTAAATAATAGTATATCAATTGTTTCTGAATTAGTATATTCTGTTTTAAGTATACAACAACAAATTTTTAGTATATTCAGATAACTAGGATTTGAAAAATTATTATGGTATTAGACTCATCGTTCAACAATTAATAATGTTTTATCAGATATTTACAATAGGCAAGTATGGCAAAATCTTAAAGAATCATCTGAACAAAGGTCAAATAATTTTTTTCGACCTGAAGTGGCTGATACCTATCTTGGATTAATGATAAATTTAAACTGGTTCCAGCTATATGAAAGGACAACATATAGAACAGGTATAATATACATAGTAATATATAATCTACCTCATGATGTTTGATTTAAGCCAGAAAAAATGCTTATACTTGGCATATTACTGGGATTTAACGAGGTTAGCTTACATAAAATAAACTATTACCCTTCGCCTATAATTACAGAATTAGAGTCTTTTTGGGAAGGCATGACTATTTAATTATACCAATAAGTGTCCAGATAGTAAAGATTAGAGTTTCAAAAATGACTCGCATAAACTCGCATATTTGACTCGCATGATTATGCATAATTGTAAATTTTAGTTACACATAATAAATAAGTACTTTAAATTAAAGGTATGTAGGATAATTTTGATTCGAAACTTGACTCAACTCGACTCATTAGGAACACTAGTAAAGATATTTAAGCTGCATTAATAATTGCTTTGTGTGATATTCTCACAGCTCATAAATTATGTGAACACATCTCTGCCCTTGCATCATATCATTGATGTAAAAAAGGTTAACAAACAACGTAATTTTGGTAGAATAGCGGATATAGACAAATAATTTATTATGAAAGATTAAGGCAAACATCAGCAAAATACTTTAGAATAGCAGCGATATAAATCTAAAGCAGAAAGAGATAGATTCATTAAGAAGTATAGCGTAAGGTAATCTGAACTACTGCAGCTGTTATATTTTGATCTGATTTGTTTTGTTATCATTGATCTGATGCATTGCCTTTATTTAGGAATTGCTAAGTGATTAACAAAATGAATATAGATTGATGAGAGTATATTAACAGAAAAAGATCTCTAATCAATTCAGAAGAAAATGAATAAATTCAAAATACCATCAGATTTGGGTCAAATTCCTGGTAAAATCCATTATGATGAAGGATTCTTTAATTTTACCGCTGACTAGTGGTGAAATTTCTTTATAATATATATCACCATTGTATTATGAGATCATCTTTTAGATAAGATTGAAAAATTCTTACATATTTCATAAAAGTTTGTACAATTTTAGGTAGATGAATTATGGAGGTTAACGACATAAAGAAAGTTCATGATAAATTAATTAAAATAATTAAATTGATTGAAGAGTACTATGGAGAAGGAAAAATAACACTAAACCTTCACCTATCATTGCATCTATGTGAATATTCTTATGATTATAGACTATATTCATTTTGGTATTTTAGCTTTAAATGGATGAATAGCGTATTAGGTAAGACAAATTTAAATTTATTTATTGTGTTATTGTTTCAATTATGTTTAATATAATAATAATTATTTATAAATTATTTTATTAGAATCTTTGCCTAACAGTCATCGTCAAATTGAACCTGAACTAATACGTCGATTGATGATTAAAATACAAGTAAATGATATCATCAGTTATGTTCAGAAATAAGAGGTCTCAAATTACTTAATAAATGACTTTCTGTTAGATCCCTTTCCGAATTACCAACAGATGAAATGTATCAATTTTTGATGAATTTCAGAAATATATTGGAATCATCAATTACTGAATGTGAAGAATTTCTGGGTAAATTTCTAACACTGCAATCTGAAGATATTCGTCTTAATGAACAAATTTATGAATTACTTATCAAATATTATGAGAATACACATGTGGATTTAATATTTAGAAAAACATTTATAGAAGATTCGCTCAATTTGACGATTGTTATCAACAGAGTGAATTGATATAAAAGATGTTTAATCAGCGCAGAAATTTTTGGATCTGCAGCTTTATCACAACATATTAAAAATTCGTTCGTCTTAGCTAAATTTATTAGTTGTGATGAAAAGAGCGTTGATACTTATGCAGGCCAAATTCAATTTTTTTTGAACATAGCGTTCATTTATTTTTCTAAAATTTGACATATAAATAGCCTACATTAAATGATATAAACTGGTAAGTTCATCGTCAATTCAATATCATTTTAGTATTGATAATGATGCCAGGACTTGCAATGTCGAATTGTGAGAAAATAGTTTCTATCTAAACAGTAAAGATAACATTATTCTGATACATAACATTTTAGGTCATTTTGTACTTGTAAAATATAAAAAATCAGATCGAATTAATTCTAAAGAATATTTAGCTGTTATCCCTATAAATAGAAAGTTCTACTTACATTGATTTAATACAAAATTCAAACTTGAAGTTGCTACTATTCGAATATTGAATATGATTCTTAAAAATAATAAAAAGCATGCAATTCAGCTATGTATAATTCTGATATAATTCAACCATTAGCAGTTTATAAGAAAAATAGTACACAATTCGGATATAGTCGAATAAATGTTAAAAAATTAATATACAATTTGGCTATTATTATGCAAGGTTGAATACATGTCGAATTGCATATCTTTACTAATTTAGGTCGAATTTTTTTAATTTTTGCTGAATTTAAGCTGAATTTTCTGAAGATCAAATATTTTTATAAAAAATGTATATAGATTTTTTTGAAGATTTGTATTCTGTTTTGCATAAAAAGTGGTTTTAATTATTAATACACGTTAAAATCTAAAGCATTTTATAAAATGACATAATTATAAACATTAAAACCTCCTTATTGTCTTTTTTTCCTTCTTTTTATTTCTATTTCTATTTTTTCTTCTGTGAAGAAGGATATTCTATATGTTCGTTTATTAACTTTTTATCTTTCAAAAATTTTTCTTTTTTGACTCTCTGTTTTGATAATTTTATATTCTAGCTTCATTTTTTTGAGTAGCTTTTACATAAAAAAAACTGTGTAAGATATCACAAAATTTACATAAATAGTATTAGAAAGAATATTATTAACCTTGATCTGTAAAATAATATGTGTAACCTTTAAAATTTTATCAAATTCATCATAATTAGTAGGAATTTCTAATTCAGCCAAATCAGTGAAAACATAAAAACTAATACAAACATATACTATTAATACTGTTTATAAATAAAAATATAAAGAAAAAAGCTTAGGCATCAATAACTTTAAAAATGATTGTAATACTTCTTTTGACACACTTTTATTACTAACAGATGTGATAGACTTCATTAATGATATATGCATGTCTCTTAACATTTTTTAACCTTCAGTGTATTAGAAAAAATTTTTCTTGTATTATTGATTACTAAACTAGCTCTTTCGCAAAGAGAAAGTTCACAGCCCTAAGACTCTTTTGCTTCTAATTTATGATTTTGCAAGTTATGTTAGTATATGCTTCAAATTGATATTAAAATATTGTATAAGTTAACATATACAAAAGAACTAATTTAAATGAAATTCTTTATCTTTTTCACAAGCTTTATTATGATATGCACTAGAAGCTTAAGATACTGCTTCACCACTTATTTGTTATTTGTAAGAAAATATGTGCATTAGTATAGACAAAGAAAAAAAAGAAGGAAAAAATAGAAAATCTTATAAATACCGATCTATAATATTATCTAAATATAAAAAAATAAAATTCTTTATAGAAACATTAATATCTCTTTCTATATTTTTCTTCTTTAGAATTTTTTTCTTAATCATTTCACAACTGATAAAAAGAAATTCAAAAATTTGTAAGCATAATAAAATCTATTAGCATAGATATATAGTACTTATATAAATTTTATCAAATCAAAAATATAAGCTATGTCTTCATCTAAGTAATCAATTTTAGCTGTTTCTATATTATCAATTGTTTAGTTATTCAAATCGCCAAACAAGTCAAGATCAAATTCTTGGGAACTTTTTGTTTTTAGAAAATTTTTAATTCTTTCAATGCATCACATGTTTCTTTAGGACAAACTTTTTCACTAATTATTTTAATCTGATCGCTATTTAACCAAGTTCAGAATATACAATTAATATAAATAAGGTATATAACAGCTTTCATAAAATTATAATGATTTACCTTTGATAAATCTTGTAAACATTTCTCTGCTTGTGATTTTAATATTATTTAATCATTTTTTGTAGTTTCTAATTTGAGTGTATTAGCTAAAACCTCTTATAATTCTAAAAAATCCTCTTCTGAAAGATATTCTCTTATTATATCGAAATCTGATTCATCTATATTCTTCATCATATCGACCTTTTTATTTTTTTTAAAAGATTGATTATAATTTAATCATATAGAAAAAAGCAAACAATATTTATAAAGTATCTACTTTGATGAATTTTTGAATCTTTTATCTTCATTTTTTTCTGAGATCAAATCTTTATAATATAGCATTCCTTTTTCAAGCTATGTTAGAATTGCATTATCAAATTTTCATTTAACTATTTTACTATTATTAGTGTTCCGCACGGATTCGGATCGATCCGAATCCAATCTGAATCCAATGGATCGGATTCAGATCGGATCTATCAGATTCGGATCTAATTCGGATTCAGATTTGGATCGGATCTGATCCGTCAGATTCGGATTCAGATTCGGATCTGATCCGTCAGATTCGGATTCGGATTCGGATCTGATCCGTCGGATTCAGATTCGGATTCGGATCTGAATTCAGATCTTGAATTGATTATCAATTAATAAATTGATAATCTTTTTTGCCG